ATTTTGTTTATATTTTTAAGATGAATGAATTATAGTTTAATTTGTTAATTGGCAAATAATTTTTCACATTTTTTATAGATAAATTATTATTTTTTTAAAAAGGAAATAAGAAAGAGAAGAACAAACAGATGTTGAAATCACAAGAATAGACACGTGTCAGTATTCCAGGTATAACACACACAATACTCACCGGTTTCGATTATTCAAATGAAGTGTTACCACTTTGAAAGTTGCAACTCTTCATTACACTAATTCTCTATAATTGTTGTTTAAGAAGCCAAATAGCCAAAAATTTAGAGAATTAATCACTTTGAATTGTAACTTGTTTGAATCCGAAAATCTACCTTCAATCAAAAAAATGAAAAGGATACGTTCTTCTTTTGATTGCTTTGATAGGGGGTTGGTTGAAGAAATTGTAGAAAGGGTGGCTTCATCATCATTCAAAGATTTAATAAATCTCAGACTAAGGTATCTAGAAAAATTTAACATCAATTATTTACTTTATTGTTTACTTACCCATCAATTTTGTAGTTGCAAACTTCTTAAATCATATAGGAAGTCAACAATGGGTATATGGAAAGTTGTCGCTGCAAGACGTTCACATTAATCCATTCATACGCTTAAATGATTTGACAAACATATGATTCAATGCTTTCATGGACAAATGCGTAGACTGTGGAAATAAAGAAGCCATGTATCGGAAAGGCATGGTAATAGTTTATTTTAAATTTTTTTCGTATGTATTGGAGTGCTTAATTCGTTATAATTAATAGATGTCTGTTTAATTTTATTTTTTTCAGTTTAACTTTTTTAGAAATATAAATCCAGATGTTGCACTAGAATTAATTGACAAAGCTTCGAAAGGAAGACACGATGCTGCAACATATGCTTTTGCTTTAATCTCGCTATACTTAGGCGGTGAATATAGCAAACACGAGGTAAAGACAATTGGCGAATTGAAGGTAATGCAAAAACAAAGAGCGAAAACAAGGCAGTATCGACGTAGATTTTAACAAATCTTACATTATATTTTTGTGTTACATCCTTTATTTGATAAATAAAAAAACCCGCGTTGTTGCACTATTAAGCATGTTCCTCTTGTTCGTAAGAATGACTGGGATAGTGCAGAGGATGATGAGCATGAGAATTGCTATGGTTGTAGCAATGATGAAGAAATTTGGCACTTCCGCAATTATTAGCCCTTTACATAATAATTTATGTTTATAATGTAATATATATTTTGTATTATATTTATAATGTATTATGTTTACTATGTATTATGTTTATAATGTAAATATATTTTGTGGAATATTACCTATTGGGGATAAATGCATTTATATGAACTATGTTTCTTATTATTTATTTGTCATCATTATATGTTTGAGGTTCTAATCAATTTAATGTAGTATTGACTAATTAACTCAAACGTTCTATCATTGACATTTTTTTCCATCTTGATACTAATTATTTATATCGCTGAAAATAGTTATATAAAATTATTTGTTAATGGGCATTAATTATGATTCATAATTAAGCATATATTTTCAACTCTAATTAGTTTTATATCAGTTATTTAAATTAATTAATAAAAATAAATTAACAATGAATATTAATTAAGGATACGTCTCTTTTAATCACAATCACATTTATGTTGAACATTAACAATGATTAATAATTCATGGTTATTTAACACCTTTGTTAGAATAAAGTAATATTGAGATCACTAAAACGTTTAAAGTTTAGTAACAAGGCAAATTCAATAATTTTTTATTAATCAATAACTAACTATCAGCGTTGTATCATCGATGAATCCAGAAGAAGGAGCTCATGGATTTCCTTAGAAACAACAATGTCTACTATGGCCTCGTCACTACGACAAATTACAAAATTTAAAGCATGCCCTCAACCAATGTAACATCTCGCAATTTGAAATGGCTAGGAAGAAGCTAAGAACTGGAAATATTCAATTTTTGGAAATAATGAAAATCTGGAAATTTGTTTAAGTTAGGAAAAATTGAGTTTGAAAGTTGATGTTCTTGACATGTATTCTTGAATTTGAATGTTGTTCTTGAATTGGGATGAATTGAGGAGTTTCTAAGATCTTTGAGTCGAATTATAGAGTTGTTTTGAGTTAGGTTCTGGAGTCCATATGTTGGGTATTGGAATCTAAAATGAATTTGAGATCAATAGTAGAGTTTAGGTGAATTGGGGCTGTAAAACGGAGAAGGAAAAAGTCGAGCGTGATTTGGCACGCAAGTCCGCATCGCAGACTTGCTCCCCCAGTGAATAAAAAGTTTCTCCGCGTCGCAGTTAAGATGTGGACTCCTTTGTCTGAAAATTTAATTTCGCGAGTAATTATTTAAAACACCTCCGCGTCGCGGACTTGTTCCAAGGCGGTGATTTCGTGATTTTTCTCATGTTTAGCTATTTAAAATCATTCCTAAACATCATGAGATCTTTCCAATCACAAATCACAATCCTTGAATCCATAATTCAATTCAAGGATCAGTTAAGAGTCGAGTCAAGAGCAGTTAAGATCATAGTCAAGAGAAGTTCTTAGAGTTTTCCAAATGTTCTAACTTTGTTTTAAGACTTAAAGTTCAAGTTGAGTAAAGTTTGAAGTCCACTTCTTCAAAAGTATATGGGGACTATGTATTCCCAAAGGGTTTAAAATGTTTTCACATTTAAATAAGAAAAGAAACCTCGATTTCCAAAGGGCCTACGGGCAAGTTTTCAGAAAAGAGTAATCGCTTTCTAAATGAAGCAAGAGGGGAAACTTTGATTTCCAAGATAGCATTTGAGCACTAATCTCAAATCACAGAAGAAGTATGTTTTAAACATAAAGAGCTGGTACCATATTTTGGGAGTAGTATTGAGCACCGATATGAGGGAGCGTTCAGAGAACCCCCATCCCCCATAAACCATGTATCCATTATGGGTAGAAAAGAGTCATACTTTTTAGATGAATCCTTTTTGCATAGACTA